ACGTCAGACTGAACAACTGGATAGACAACATCAGTACTTTGATGTGAACACAGGGTAACTAAAATTCCTCTTATATAAGCCACCTTATCAGGTTGTGAACTTCGCGCCATATGAATGTGTTGTGCTGCTCCAAATAGGGTTTTGGTTTTTAAAAAAAAAACAAAACAAAAACTGCTGGCCTTTATTACAGCGAGCAAATTGAAAAGATGTCAGAGGTGGTAACTCAGAGATTTTTTTGTAACCGACTCATACATATCTCTTACATACACTTTTTACTTACTTTCCCACATCCCATGGACTTTTTTAGAAGGAATGTAAGTATTATTCATCTGTCAAACAAGTTAAAAGGGTGTGAATAGCTTACAGTGCTACAATTATAGAATCCTGTTTCAATTATAATAATTCTTTCTGCCAAACAGTCGGCCTACATTCAACATATACTGCTATGACCTATATTTCTTTGCTGTTAACAGGTTAAGCCAGTCCTGCTTGTCAATACATTTTCTTAGTTTGTAACACTGGTACGTTTGGAAGGTTTGGCATGTCATACTGAAATTAACTGACTGCGCCTGTATGTAGAAAAAAGCACAAAATTTGTAAGTCACCTGTAAAACGAACTTGGTGATTGTGTTGACATATTATGTTGCACCATTTAGTAAATCTGACCCATCGTGTTCACTTTTCAATAACTCAACCCCAGGTTTGTTTACTTCTGATGCAAAAAAAAGTATTTTGCTGTGCTAATCTATGGCCAGCAGAACCTACTCTAAGGAAGCGCTGCTATCCATCACGACTGTTATTATTCCTTGCCAGATCGAAGTGGCATCTGAGGATGCTATCCTTTCAAAAATCTGTCATCTGTTTATACCACCTGTTAACATCACCAAACACTTGTCTAACAGCAATCAGAAAAGCTACTGAGAACACTTTACCTTACATTGCACATAGAAGGATGAAAAAAAAAAGGAGAAAAATTTAACTGGGCAAGAACAATCCAAAATCTGCACTACTCACCCATCCACCACTGTCAGTCACATTCAAACTGACAAAGGCTGGGATTGTGAAATAGACATTTGTAGTTTTCTGACTGATGAATATCCATTCAGGATTCACAATTCTATTCAGAAATAACATGATGCTCGAAAATTCCTCCACACATTAGGAAGTGCCAAATGAAGAGAACTGGAGAAAGTGAGAGAGGGAGATGAGTATGTGTGAATAAATGATACATATGCTTCCTTTTATATTTAAGTGTGTCTCTGTCTGACTGTGCCAAGCACAAAAATTATGGTTGGCACAGTGGGGGCCAAAGGGTTTAAGATGCTGGACTCTTGGAACTGACTTCCTTGAGTCTTGTTGGGGATCCTACTCATGTGTTGTGTTTCCCAACCATCTATCTCCTTATTCTGTCATCTTTCCAATCTGTGCCTCTAATAGCCTAAAAAGAGCAAATAAACATTTCAAAAAGAATCCATTACATAAAAATCTGTATTAATAAAATGAATGATTAATTTAATGACAGAATGACTGAATGAATGAGCTGAGAGCTCCGCTCTTACCAGGGTAATCAGCCTATTGATCAGCTCAGCTTTTCTCATAGAATTGACCATTTCTTATAGATGGTCAATACTTGGGCCACTTAGAGGTGACTAGGCAGTAAGAAGTCTGTTGCTCCTAATGAGCGTGGAATTGAGTCACATTTCAAAGAAAGAACAACATAGTGACTGTATTCCAAGTCATCCAATCATGTCAAAAAAAGGATCGCTCACTGATTTTAATAAATTACTGTCCTGCTCTATCATTAATGGAAAGTAAGTGTAAGTATTTTCTTTTACTACTATGCAAGTGCAGATTTTATACTTGATCAATTGTGACAGCCAAAAAAACAGGATGAAATGCAGAGGTTAGGACACACACAGCTGAGTGGTGGGAAGGGAAGGGAAACTTGAGTTGAACTAAGAGTGGGATGACAGGAGTCCAGGAATAGTGGCAATCAATGGATGGAAAGATGGATGGATAGAGGGAGGAAAAGAAGGTGGGGGGGAAGTGGGAGAGTTGAAGGGAGAGATGAGTGGTCTCCTGGGTGGAGTGGTGATAGTCTTGCTGTGTGTCTGTGAGACCAAATCCTTTCCAAACTGAAGGGAGAACAATAGGATACCCACAGGTAGGGGAACTATGGGGGAGGAAACGAGAACAGAGGAGAGTATTGTGCATACTGATATATGTATCTTTATTCAAAACACTATGAAAAGCGTCTGGAGGCCACAACTTTTTTATATTGGTAACTCCTAAATATTTATTTATCAAAGTCAAGCACTACTTCCCAGCAGCTCTCATATGTCTACTTTATTATTAAGGATTTCAAGGAGTAATTAGAGCAGATGCACCTTGCCTTAAAAAGGGCAGAGTGGAGGTTTCTGGAACAACTTCACCTACTTCCAAGATGCATGGAGAAAAGTATAGAGTCTGATGAAGTTAAAGCTTCAGCAACGCTTTGTTTAATTGTGCATTTCAGCTTGTGGCCTTCATCGTCATGCTCATCATCAGAGTTTAAATATCATATATACAAATAAAAATAAACACAACCAATCATGTACATGAATAAATAAATAAAAACAGATAAAGATTTTTTAATAAAAAAGAAAATAAAAACGATGAAACACTAAAGTTGTGCTTTATCATACAAATAAAATATAGTGAAATAATAAAACTATAAAAGAAAATTAGATTAAAAAGACATTTATTAGGAGCCACTCTCTAAACTTCTTAAATGATACTTCATTCATACATTCTGGAACAAACTTTAAGATAGAAAATCCATCCAGTTTTTCCTGAAAGAACTTCCATTACTTCCTCCCTGGTTGAAAGCCACAAGTTGTCCTTCATACCACATGTGTTGCTGGCGCATTAACCTTGTAAAACAAGGGCTAAAAAGCCAAGAGTGGGAAAAAAAATGTACAGTTTTATCAAATCAAATTTTAGGCTGAAAACAAGCAGTGGTGTATGTCGGCAAATCGAGGAATGGTGCTAAATCTTACAACACAGAATTTCCTCTGAGAAACCTAATTCACACCAAGTATCTGCAATCAGTTAAAATTTATGTCTCAAAATTATGATTCTCAAAACAAACATTGCAATAAAATGGTATTAATCTCCACAAACACTGTCTGTACAAGGTCTTAAAAAATAGACACGATCTATCAAGGGTAAAGCAAACAAGAGACGTGAAGAAGCGGCATAAGTGGTGCTTTTATGAAACTCATGAGTTCCCAAGTAAGGGTAATTTCTTTCATAAGTAGCATGCACAACCACACAACCACAATTACTACACACAGAGACACACACATCACTAGAATAGCTGTAAAAACAGGTATTGATGAGAAGGCCTAGTCAATGACCATCAGAGGAAAACAGAGACCGCCATTAGCCAGCCAGTCAATTGCTAAAGCATTCTGGGTAATTCTAGCGCACACATACACCCAGACATGGGGATACACACATTGACAGCAAGAGGACACCCCTCAGGGACATCTTAACCACGTACACACATATACACACACACACTGAGACAAAAATTAAGGCAGGATGGCTTTTATACTGTCATGCTTTGTCCTTTCATTTTTCTATCTTGTTCTTTTTCCTCCATGCTCTTTATATCTGCCTTACTTTTCCTCTGCTTTTTAGCTGCTTTTTAGTCACTCCTTCTTTCTCTCACACCCAATGTCTCTCTCAGGGGTAAAGTGGTTGTTGGTTGCTCCTAGGGGGTCTTAACCAAGTCTCATTAGTGCAATAAAGTAGTTTGTGTGTGTGTGTTACTGTGTATGTGCATGAGTGGTGGTGATGATTGTGCATTAGCCAGCCATCTAATCAATGGGAAAAACCACTGAGCCCGGGTCCCTGCTTATGTTACCATCAGAGCTATTTATACGGAAACACACGTGTCCAGACACGCAAAAATCACAGCATATGGTTATGTGACAGCCATACGCTGTCACACAAGGATACGGGGAGTTTGACTCATGCCTTTCAATTCATACTCAACTTCAGCTTCAACACGACAAAATTTCTTTCCACTGTCTCACCCTCCCTCCGCTCCTTTCCCCCACTCTTATCTGTCTTTTCTTGTGGGAGTGAGACAGATTAACGTCAATGCTGGTTTTACTTATCATACTGTAGCCAGCACAACCCTCCAAGCAACAGAATGGGAGCAAACTGCAATACAATCAACACTGGGTGCAAGCAAAGTTGTACTACAACTGCACGACACGTGCAAACACTGCATGGCAACATATTGGTTGGCACCCTTTTACTAATGTGTGGCATGGTTATGGTGGTTGGTTTTACTGATAGATTTAGAGCCTCAAAATGCCAGCTTGATTATCTTGGGTATTTTGAGGTTCCTTCTTTCAGACCTCAAAGTCTCCAATTACCTATGACAAATACAGCATATACGAGCAATATACAACTGATGATGATAAAACAAACAGCTCTTTTGTCCACCTACTGTAGGTTTGATACAATTTCTGATATAGATGAGTTTCTTCACTTTTTCATGCACATTTACAAACACAAACATTAACACACAAACCGTTAGAGCTTAATGAAGCAGAACTCAGCCTGGTGCCCATTAGCTTCATAATTAATAATTTCTCCCTGCCTCCTAACACACTTATCAACTTGCAGAGGAGGTTGCATGCATGTGTATGTGTGTGTAATTAAGTGTGTGGGGTATGTGTGTTTGTTTGTGCCTGCCAGTGTCTGTGCACTTTGGCAGATAAGAGATGTAGTTGGTAAGGGAAATGGCATATTCGTGCAGACATGATCGTTTGCATGTCACTGTTATGTGAAAACCTTTAACTCGATTCAAACTACCGGCTTTTAAATGTTTAAAAGTTGACACTAAATTGATGGACAATTAATGTGAAAACAGTAGCAAAAAAGAAGCTAATTATAAGCAGAACAGTCTTAAAAATTACATACATGAAATTACATACCACCGTGGAGGGGGATCCATTGTGTATTCTCCATTTCCTCTTTCTCCCTTCTACTTGGAACTTGTTTTTACTGCTATGATCTATAGATTGTCCGAAACGTAAAAAGAGACAGCGAGACAGAAGGAGAAAAGCAAAGGGAAAAGAAAGAAAACATGAAATTGTTAGAGAGCAATATCATAGGCCCTCTTATCTAATTCAACAAACTCTATTCCTTCCTTCCTTCTCTTTTTTTATTTCGTCATGTTTCCCCCATTCCTTTTCACTGCACTCACTCTACCTATATCCCCTTCTTCACCTCCCTTCTCTCTATCTCTGTGAATAGAACATCAAAAGCCTCTGAGTTAGATGGGGAATGACAGTATTTGCTATTGGTATGCAGGAAGACATGTCTGCTCCAAAGTGTTAGTCTAAAGGCCTCGGCTAAGTGTTTGTCAAGACATAAAGCCATTGTTCTCGTCTCCTCTCAGATCTCAGACCTCTCCCTTTTTCTTTCTCCATCTCCTTTTCTCGCACCACTTTTGTACTTTGATGGAACATTTTACTTCAGTCTGTGTGTGTGTTAAGTGTATATATGAGTCTAGTATGAGAAGGGTTTGTGTGTGTGTGTATTGTGTGTGCCACTGTGCCTTAAGAAATTAAGCACTGCCGCACAAAACATTGCTGTTTATTTTTCATAAATTTTGATATTTCCATAACAAGCTGTATCCAGTAAATTAACTACAAAAAAGTGTAAACCTTGAACATACGCTTACTCAGGATAAAAAGATTTCCTGGTAAAACTTTTTCCTCACCTTTCTGGCAAACAAAGGAATTTAAATCAAAAATAGAAAATAATTAACCAAATTACCTGTTCATTGCCAATATAAACAAACAAATCATTCTAACATCATGGTATAACAACTTTCCAATGTTTATTGCTTGCCAGAATCGTTTACATTGGATACACACACACACACACACACACACACACACACACA